GTGTTGTGTGTCATGTGAATGTATGTGTGAGTGTGCCACGAGTGTGTGGTGTGTGTATGTATGTGTTTTGTTTATTGTTGTTATTACTGTGTGTGTGTATTTTTTGTGTGTCCATTTCTTTGTTGTGAGCATGTGTGTTGTGCATGTGTGCACACATGATTTGTGTGTGCATATCTGTGTGCTGTGTGCGCATGCTTTTTGTGTGCATGCATGTCTGTTAAGTGTTTGTATGTGCGCATTTGTGTGTCGTGAGTGTGTGTGTGTGCATGTAAGTGTGTTGTATATTGTCGTATTCGTGTGTGTTTTGTGTGTGTGCATGCATTCGGTGTATGTTTCTGCGTTTGTTATGTGAGTGTGTGTGCATGCATGTTTTGTTTGTGTGTGTGTGTATGTGTGTGCATATCTGTGTGTTGTTATTTGTGTGTCTTTGTGTTATTTGAGTGTGTGTGCACATGTATGTGTGTATAAATGTGCTTTGTGTGTGTTGTGTAAATGTGTGTGTGTGTCCATGCATGTGTGATTTGTTTATGCGCGTGTGCTTGTCTGTTTTGTATGTGTTGTGCCCATGTTTTGGTTTTGTGCGTGCATGCGTGTGTGTGTGTGTGTGTGTGTATGTATGTGTACGATTGTTTGTCTGTTTCTCTGTGTGTGCATGTTGTGTAAGTGTGTGTGCGTCTGTATGTGTGTGTCTTACTCTGTTTGAGTGCTATTGTTTGTATTTATCAGTGTGTGTGTGTGTATGCACATATCTCTCTGTGTGTGCATCTCTCTCTCTTATTATGTGCGTGCGTGCGTGTGCGCACTTGTGTGTGTGTGTGTGTGTGTGTGTGTGTGTGTGTGTGTGTGTGTGTGTGTGTGTGTGTGTGTGTGTGTGTGTGTGTAGCCTGGCATTTGAAGCAGTATTGCGAGTCAGCATGTAGCATTGAGCTGAGGAGGCAAACGCTGCAGCTGTTCTGGAGTCAGCAGATCATCATCATCCTCATCATCATCCCTTCGCTGATGAAGTCACACAGCAGCGGCGTCACACAACCTTCACCTTACATGCTCTCAGTAAATGATTTTCTGCCTGATAAATAACCGGCCGCTCCTTTAACCTCCAGACCCCTTTGCCGTGTGTGTGTGTTTGCGTGCGCGCATGAGAGGACAGGAAGCCATCTGTGTGAGCGAGGCAGAGTGTAGAGATCACTGACACTCTGACAGGGAAGAAAACAGATCATCTCTTATATTTACAAGGGGTGATGCTGAAGTTGACTTGATTAGAGCAGGCCAAAGATTCATCCTCGATTCAAATATCGAAGCAAAACTGTTTTGTATAGATTTGTTTTTATGTGTGTGTTTGTGTATTAGATATGCATAAGAAATATATCTAACACACACACACACATCAAATCTAAGCAAAACTTTTTTTGTATGCGATTTAATGTACTATATTTAATATATTTAAAGGTATAGTTCACCCAAAAATTAACGTATATATTCTTTATCTATTAACTTTGAGTTTCTTTCTTCTGTTAAACACAAAATGAGATATTTTGAACAATGTTGGAAACCTCCGTTAGCTTTAATGGTATTTGTTTTTCCTACAGTGGAAGTAGATGGTTACAGGTTTTCGTTTATTCATTTTCCTTCGGCTTAGTCTCTTATTAGAATCGTCACCGCGGAATGAACCACCAATTATTCCAGCATATGTTTTACGCAGCGCATGCCCTTCCAGCTGCAACCCATACACACTCATTCACACACACACACACCCTCATACATTACGGCCAATTTAGTTCATCAATTCCCCTATAGCGCATGTGTTTGGACTGTGGGGGAAACCGGAGCACTGGGAGGAAACCCACGCCAACAAGGGGAGAACATGCAAACTCCACACAGAAATGCCAACTGACCCAGATGGGACTCGAACCAGTGACCTTATTGTGAGGCCACAGTGCTAACCACTGTACCGCCATACAGGTTTTTAGCTTTCCTTAAAATATCTTCTTCTTAAAAGGACAGTTCACCAAAAACAATTTGCTCAATAATTATTGGTTGTAAACCTTAGAGTTCCCTCCTTTGTGTTCTTCAGTTAAGCAGAAGAAAGAACCTTGTAAAGGTTTGCAATAAAAAAAGTTAAGCAAATGATGGCAGAATTACTTTTTTTGGGGTGAACTGTGCCTTTAAGGGTAAACCCACGCAAACACAGGGAGAACATGTAAACTCAGCACAGAAACACCAACCGGCCCGATAGGAGGTTGGACCAGCGGTGTTCTTGCTGTGAGGCAACAGTGCTAGCCACTGGGTCATCGTGTCACCCTATCGGAAAAGGAGGAGGAAGTAGGGGTGGAAGACGGAGAAAGCTTCAAGACTAAGATAGGTATCCCCCTGGGACACCAACAGCAGGCGCTACATCATAAGCAGGGCCCATAGGAGTAAGCTTCTGATTGGTTAACGCTGTGCGAATGTCTAACGCAATCTCACGGCAATTCGTAACTTTGATTTAGTGGCTAATTCATATAAATTCGTACAATCTAATTCGTACAATTTAGTACGAATTGCTCATCTCCCAATGACTGTTAGGGGTGGGGTTGGTTGCCACGCCTCCTTTTTAAAATTGTACTTTTTTGTTCGACTGAACTTGTACGAATTCGTATGAATTAACCACTAAACTGACAAAACGTAAAATACTTGTGTTTCCTCGTGAGATCAGGCTGGATTGTACGCTGAAGTTCAGATTTTCGAACTTGAGCGATTCGCACAAAATCAGTCGCATTATCCATGATGCAAGCGTGCTCCAGCTCGGAAGCTAAAATGCTGTATGAGTGCAGGGAGACGGGGGGAGGGGATGGGGCACAATCGTGTTAACACGGTTCAAGGTAACTGTGCCTAGTGACTCTGCTGAAAAAAAATTGCTAAACCAGCCTAGGCTTGTTGGCTGGTTTTAGCTGGTCAACCAGGCTGGTTATAGAGGGGTTTTGGCCATTTTAGGCAGGTTTACAGCCATTTCCAGGCTGGTCTTAGCTGGTTAGGCTGGGAGATGACCAGTTAAAACCAACTTAACCAGCCTAACCAGGCTGTGAGCCCAGCCAAAACCAGCTATGGCCAGCTTATACCAGGCTGATCAAGCTGGTTTGAGCTGGTCATTTCCCAGCCTGACCAGCTAAGACCAGGCTGGAAATGGGCAAAACCCCTTTATAACCAGGCTGGTTTAAGCAGTTTTTTTTTCAGCAGGGAGAGGTTACGCCTTTAGTGAAGTTGTAGTTACTGTCTGCTTATTAGCCGTGTGGTTAGAGAAAGTTCAGTTGTAAGGTCAGTCACATGCAGTGGTCAGCATGCTAGAAATGAGAAACGCATGACTCGCTTAATTACTCATGAATGATGTAAGACATATGATACTGAACAAACCAGACGGAAACATGGTGAATATATTCAGATATAATAAGCAAGACAAAATGACTAGTTGTTGAGCAGGACGCACAGCATTATAAAGGCTTTTATTTACAGTAAACGGTCTGCACAATCAAGCAATAGTACAAACGTACAAGCGCAGCAGGTTTCCTGATTTTAGTGAAGATGTTGAGTAAATGAGAAGTTTACTGTGTTCTCAATGTTTTGTTTCTAATTCCACGTCACATCATTTTTGTCCAATGGAAACGAGTGAGTGAGTGTGCGTGTGTGTGGACGGCTGTTTTCTTCTTCTCTAACTGTTTTCATTGGGGAATTGTCAGCGTATGTCATTTGTTCATATGTTGGTTCCCTCAGTTTAAATAATTGAAGAGCAAAAAAAAGAGTGTGTTTGTGTCACTCATCTCTCTCTCTCTCTCTCTCTCTGTGTGTGTGTGTGTGCAGGTACGACTACCGTGAAATGCTGCACAACTCTACCTTCTGTCTGGTTCCTCGAGGACGACGCCTGGGATCCTTCCGCTTCCTGGAGGCTCTTCAGGTCAGCTCTTCCCTCATGATGAGAGCTCACTTTACTTTCATTCGTTTGTTTTCTTCTGTGCTGTCTGTCCGTCTTTTTCACTCACTTCATTTTCTGCTTCCTTCCTCTAAATCTTTCCAAGTATGTTCTTCCTTTTTTCCTTCCTTCCTTCCTTCATTCCTTTCTTTCTTCCTTCCTTCCTTCCTTCCTTTCTTCCTTGCTTGCTTGCTTACTTCCCTCCTTTACTTATTTCCTTGCTTGCTTCCTTATTTCCTTCCTTCTATCCTCCCTTCATTCCTTATTTGCTTGTTTGTCTGCTTACTTTCTTTCTTCCTTATTTCCTTCCTCCTTTCCTTCGTCCCACCCTCCCTTCCTTCCTTCCTTTCTTACTTCCTTATTTCCTTCCTTTTTTCCTTACTTGCATCATTCCTTCCTCCCTTCCTTCCTTCTTGTCTTACTTCCTTCCTTACGTACTTCCTTACTTCCTGTTTTTTTCCTTTCTTTCCTACTTACTTATTTGCTTTTCTGTCTGCTTTCTTATTTCTTTATTTCCTTCCTTTATTTCTTACTTCCTTATTTCCTTTCTCTTTTCCTTACTTACATAATTTCTTCCTCCCTTCCTTCCTTCCTTCCTGTCTTCCTTCCTTCCTTACATCCTTCCTTACTTCCTACTTTACTTCCAGCCTTGCTTGCTTGCTTCCTTCCTTCCTTATATCCTTACTTTCTACCTTCCTTTATTCCTTACGTCCTTCCTTCCTTCCTTCCTTGCTTGCTTATTTCCTTCCTTTCTTTCTTACTTCTTTATTTTCTTCCTTCCCCCTTCCTACCTTCCTTACTTCCAACATTCCCTCCTACCTTCCTCCCTCCCTCCCTCCCTCTCCCTCCCTTCTTGTGTGTGTGTGTGTGTGTGTGTGTGTGTGTGTGTGTGTGTGTGTGTGCGCGCGCATGAGAGAGAGAGCATTTGCATATCTGCGTGTGTGTGTGTGTGAGACTTTGTGTGTGCATGCATGGGTATATATATACGTGTATGTGTGTGCATGTTGATACGCGTATTTGCATGATTGTATGTGTTTGTTTATGTGTGTGTTGACATGTACATAACACATGTATCCACACACACACATGCACATAACACACACACACAGACTCATAAATATGCACACAGACACACAAGCGCAAGTCTGCTGTGTGTGTGTGTCCACTCTCTGTGCAGCCCTGCAGCATGTGGTGCTCAGCTGACACCTTTATGACCTGATGATTGGCAGGTCCTCATTACGTCAAACAGCCGTCTCTCACACACACACAGCAGCTGCTCATCTCTGCACGTCTGCTGCACTTCAAAAGAGAACGCTTTCCTCTGTGTGTGTGTGTGTGTGTGTGTGTGTGTGTGTGTGTGTGTGTGTGTGTGTGTGTGTGTGTGTGTGTGTGTGTGTGTGTGTGTGTGTGTGTGTGTGTGTGTGTGTGTGTGTGTGTGTGTGTGTGTGTGTGTGTGTGTGTGTGTGTGTGTGAGATCTGTAGGTGTCTGAGTGCTGGACTCTTCACGTCAGTATCAGTAACGAGGCTAATGGCTCTTCTGGCATTCAGTGGAAGTGCTTTAATATGCGGCCCATTGTTTGTTCTGTGTCGTATTCACCTGTGTGCATGTGTGTGTGTGTGTTGTCCTGTAATGAAAACACTGCCTTATGACTCACCGTGTGACTTTTGTGTGTGTGTGTAGGCGGCCTGTGTGCCGGTGATGCTGAGTAACGGTTGGGAGCTCCCCTTCTCGGAGGTCATCGACTGGAACACTGCTGCTGTGATCGGGGACGAGAGGCTCCTGCTGCAGGTCTGAACATCGCCAATGTTTAGCACAGATTTACCACAGTATCTGCTCTACCAAAGCTGCCAGTGAGGAGGAAAGCGTCTCAGTTAGTGGCTGTTTGAGTGAAGGGATGGGTGAGACAATAGATTCATTGAGGCTTCGTGATTCTGAATCAATTCTTAGATGTTCAGAACTGATTCGGTGTTCAGATTAGATTGCGATGATGAGGGCCTGTGCGGGCGTGAGCTAGAAACAGAAAAATAATAAGCGCTGGCAGATGAACAGCGTTGACGATACACAACCACTGAAGACATTTCTCAGCTCTGCTTTCTTTCATGTTTAAACTGTAAAGTTTCAGTATCAGAAGACGGAGCTTCAGAGTAGGGCTGCATCTGCCCTCGCAGTGCTTTATTTTTCTGCGATATGAATATCATTTCAGCAGATGGCTTCAATAGCAATCGCATAAATAAGGTAGAGCACAGGTGAAAGTGTAATGAGCAGCGGTTTGTTTTTCTGGAGAGTCAAACATTCATTCATTTTTCTTCTGGTTAGTCCCTTATTTTTTTAGGGGTCGCCACAGTGGAATGAACCGCCAACTGTTCCAGCATATATTTTACACAGCGGATGGCCTTCCAGCTGCAACCCAGTACTGGGAAACACTCATTCACACACACTCATACACTACAGCCAATTTAGTTAATCAATTCTCCTATAGCGCATGTGTTTGGACTGTGGGGGAAACCAGAGCACCCCAAGGAAACTCACGCCAACACGGGGAGAACATGCAAACTCCACACTGAAAGGCTAACTGATCCAGCTGGGACTCAAACTAGCGACCTTAATGCCATGAGGCGACAATGCTAACCACTGAGCCATCGTGCTGCCTCCGATACAGCAGTAATAGTGTAGTGTAAAATAACACTGTACGGTCTTCATTGCTGATAAACTATCGTCTCAAACTTGATCTCTATTAATGTCTTTTCTTAATCGTTAGCAGCCAAAATTAAAAATCAAAACTGAATTTCCGATTTATTGCACAGCCCTACCTGAAGTGCATTTGTTCACTTCAATTTTGACTCCAAATCCAGACCTCCATAGGTGAATAAAGTCTATTTCCGTTGATCATTTATGTGTGGTTTTGTTGTCAGCACATTCAACTAGGGCTGTGCAATTAATCGAAAATCCGATTATGAAACGATTCTGAAAAAGCATTAATCGAGATGAACGATTATTGCATCATATACCGGCCCCTTTCCATCTATTGCTCCTAAAAGCGCGAAAGACCGCGTGCTTATGTGTATGCGGCACGCGCACACAGCCAGAAGCATGCGGCCGGTCAGCATTCGGTCTCATTCGCACACTGAAGCTGGAATTATACTTGCGCCTGGCACCGCATCACGCACCTCCGCTGACCGCGCGCGCACCTCGCGAAACGGACGAGACATCTGAAGTCATCTTAATGTGACCGCTTTAATGGTCAAATAGGTGTCAAAACGCAGTGTTTAGTGATTATTCATAATGACTCTCATTTGCGTAATAAACAAACGAGTTACAAGTTGAGGATCAAAAGACACGTGAAAGAGAAACCATTAAAGAGACAGTGCGCGATGTTGTTTTTATCATTAATCAAACAAAACGAGAAAGTCCCACTGCTCTTGACTGAAGGATTTTTGTAGCTAAAGTGTTTTTCTTACAGTAAGGATGCTTAAAGCACAGTTTAATTGTTAATTTATTTCTCTTTCCTTTGCAACTGTATGTATACATTGAAGTCAGAATTATTAGCCCTCCTGAATATTAGCAACCCTTTTCCTCCCCAATTTCTGTTAATGGAAAGAAGTTTTTTTTTTTACTTGTTTCTGAACTTAATAGTTTTGATATCTCATTTCTAATTACTGATTTGTTTTATCTTTGCTATGATGACAGTACATAACATTTTACTAGATATTTTTCTAAATACAAGCATTCAGATTAAAGTGCAATTCAAAGGCTTAATTTGAGTAATGAGACAAGTCATTGTATAACAGTAGATTCTTCTGCAGACAATCAAATAATATGTTGCTTAAGGGGGCTAACAATATTGACCTTAAAATGGGTTTCAAAATATTTAAACCTGCTTTTATTCTAGCTAAAATAAAACAAATAAGACTTTCTCCAGAAGAAAAAAAATATCAGAGGAAACACTGTTAAAATTGCTTGCTCTGCTAAGCATCATTTGGGAAATATTTATTTAAAAAAAAAAATTCTCAGGAGCGCTAATAATTTTGACTTCAACAGTAATCGTTTTAAATAATCGTGATTACAATTATGACCAAAATAATCGTGACTATGATTTTTCCCAAAATCAAGCCTCCCTACATTCAACTATGTTAGAACAAAGTTTTTAATAAGAATATTTCATTCATTCTGATTTTTTTTGAGTTCCCTTTATTTTTTGAGCAGTTAGAATTCCTGTCAGAAGAGCACTATAATCTCTTGATCTTTTTACTTTTTGTAGGTTTTTAAGGGGAGTAACGGAGCTGAATTTGTGAATATTTCAGGCTTGTTAAGCGTTGATGATAATTATACACAAATCTGCTAACTTCATTTGTTAACTTCCCACCGGGGCTCACTTTAAATAAATGTGCTGTTAAGGTCTTTCTCAGAGAAAGTTCCTCCATTATTGTTCCCTGAGCTGTGGGAATGGGCTTTATAATGTTCAGCTTTCTGAAGTTTCATGGCTGAGTTTATTGTTCCGCCCAGAGCCTGAATTGTTTTTAGTTTAAAGTTGTAAAAAATGAGAGTTATAATAGTGATGATGATGATGATAGTGCTCAATATGAACTGTACTTTGCCATTTAAGTGAAATGTTAATATTTATGAACCAACAGTATAGTTTGCTTTGCTTATTTTTATGTTACTTTATTGTTGTAGTAATCATGATAATAATATCTCTTTCTCTCTCTGTCCTGCAGATCCCGTCCACTGTTCGCTCCATCCATCAGGACAAGATCCTGGCTCTCCGACAGCAGACGCAGTTCCTCTGGGAGGCCTATTTCTCTTCAGTGGAGAAGATCGTGCTCACCACTCTAGAAGTAAGAGATCAGACACACGCACACACACACACACACACACACACACACCACTCTAGAACTAAAAGATCAGACACTCCGCACACCACTCTGGAAGAGATCAGACAAACACACACCATTCTAGATGAAAAAGATCAGACTCGCACAGACAGACAGACAAATCTACAATCTATGGATGGTTGGATGGATGGACGGATGGAAGGATGGACGGATGGAAGGATGGACTGATGGATGGATGGATGGACCAATGGACTGGACTGATGCACTGATGGATGGATGGACCGATGGATGGGTGAAAGGATGGAGGGATGGATGGATCAATAGATGGATGGATTGATGGACTGATGGATGGGTGAAAGGATGGAGGGATGGATGGATGGATTGATGGACTGATGGATGGGTGAAAGGATGGACTGATGGATGGATGGATGGACCAATGGACTGGACTGATGCACTGATGGATGGATGGACCGATGGATGGGTGAAAGGATGGAGGGATGGATGGATGGATCAATAGATGGATGGATTGATGGACTGATGGATGGGTGAAAGGATGGAGGGATGGATGGATGGATTGATGGACTGATGGATGGGTGAAAGGATGGAGGGATGGATGGATGGATGGATGGATCAATAGATGGAAGGGTGGACTGATGGATGGATGGATGGATGGATGGACCGATGGATGGGTGAAAGGATGGAGGGATGGATGGATGGATCAACAGATGGAAGGGTGGACTGATGGATGGATGGATGGATGGATGGACTGATGTATGGGTGAAAGGATGGAGGGATGGATGGATGGATGGATCAGTAGATGGAAGGGTGGACTGATGGATGCTTGGATGGATGGATGGATGGATAGATGGATGGACCAATGGATTGATGAAAGGATGGGTGGAGGGATGGATGAATAGATGGACTGGTGGATGGATGGATGGACCTATGGATGGACAGATAAATGGACTGGATGGATGGATGGATGGATGGGTGGGTGGAAGGATGTGTGGAAGGATAGAGGGAAGGATGGATAGATGGACTGGACTGATGGATGGATAGACCGATGGATGGGTGAAAGGATGGATGGATCAATAGATAGATGGATGGACGGATAGACTAATGGATGGGTAAAAAGATGGATGGATTCATGGATGGATAGATGGATGGACCAATGGAAGGAAGGGTGGACTAATGGATTGGTGAAAAGATGGATAGATAGATTGATGGATGGACCAATGGATTGATGGAAGGATGGATGGATGGACCTATGGATGGACAGATAAATGGACTGGATGTATGGATGGATGGGTGGGTGGAAGGATGGATGGACAGATGGATGGATGGATGGACGGATGGATGGACGGATGGATTTACCAATGAATGGATGGACCGATTAATGGATGGACTGATGGATGGATGGATGGATGGCCTGATGGATGTCTGGATGGATGAATTGATGGATGGATGGATGGCCTGTTGGATGTGTGGAAGCATGGATGTATGGATGGACTGATGGATGGAAGAATGCATGGATGATGGATGGTTTTTTTCAGCTTTTTTTCTCCTCTTCTAAACGAGTAAATGTATATAATAGGCAGGTAACTACGCAGCTAGTTAATAGCGAGAATTTTTTCTTAAACTGAAGTGTTTCTTAAATCAGATCTGTTGAAAGCATCAGATCCTGTATCAGCCTGGTGTTTTCCTCCTGGTTTGTCAGTGTGTCATACAGTGCATGAGCGTCTACAATCAGCAAATCACAGTCATTAACCCCAGCAGACAGAGAGTGTGGAACGCCGCTGCAATTACACCCGCATCCCAGATCTGCTTTCAGCCGTCTGCAGGATTGTGGCCGTCCGGATGCCAGATTGAGTCGTCAATCACACTTTTAGCAGAGCGAGCGAGAGCAGCGTCTTTCATCAGCCGCTCAGATTGTGTTTTTAACATGACAGGTGAGCTGAGAGAGCACGGCTTATATCAGCACTGAGGAGAAGCTCTATACTAGGCTGGACTTTGCTCATATGACATGCACTTAGGTTTAGGGTTGCATCAATGTTTGGTCACTTTATTTTAGTGTTTAAATCTCGCTAATAATCAGGCTTAATTGAGCTTGATAAATTCCTGATTTGCTGTATATCAATAGTTAAGGTAGTAGTTGGGTTTAGGATTAGAGATGTAGAATATCTGCCTTATAAGTACTAATAAATAGACAATAGCTGCGTCCCAAATCGCATACTTATGCACTATTCTACGCCATTTTGAAGTATAAATAGTGTAAGTAGTGTGTTCACACTGAAAACTCTAAATAATAATGAGTGCACTGTAATTACCCGGATGATGCACTCATTCAGCCGCTAAAATGAAGTGTGTAATGATGGACACTTCACACACTCAACGACCACAGGTTTGCTCACGCAGCGGAAGGGGCGGAGCTATCGGACGCACATGTCGGATAACTTTATTTGTTTTGGATGTTGAAAGCAAAATTCTCCTAAGAGAGTGATTATAGCGCCTCCCGATGGTGAATGCGGTAATACTCACGGCAGGTATTATTTGATAATTCGGTCGTTTATTTCACTGATCTGGCAACCGTCAAACATCATCAGGGAAACGGTTTAAATTTCCGCTTAGTAAAAAAACATTAGTGTGCCAATTGGGACGCCACTACATACATATACTATCCTGTTAAGGGTGTAAGTGCATAAGTACATAGTGCATGAGTGTATAGTGTGCCATTTGGGACGCAGCTAATATCTTAATACACATGCTAATAAGCTAGTTAATAGTGAGAGTTATTCCCTATAAATAAAGTGATATGCTGCGATCACACTGGAGTTTGAGCTTGTGAAATTCTGCAGTACAGTGCTGTGTAAGAGGCGGGATTAAACAAGATGATTAGACATTAAAGCGAACGATTGGTCCATTTTTTTTATTTTTTATTTTTTTTTCTGTCACTAGAGCTGTGAACCTACACTGGTCTCGGTTACGATTATCATGCCATCGATTCGGTTCAATTCGATATCTCGGTGCATTGACGGTGCTTTTTCATACACAGTTTTATATTTTCTTTCCAGCAGCAGTTCTTGTAGTAAAATATATTTATATAGTATTTGTAATACAATTTTGTCATTTAATACAAACAATCATATATAAAACTGTACCTTGGCATTTATAGCAACTAATATAAACAATATCCCGCTTGCTTTCTGATCCTTGTCTAGTTCTCTTACACCCCTTTGATTGGTCACACACTCAACAAAAACTTTGCCTAGAGCGGCAGTTCAGCTTGCTCTGGCCCTGTACATAATAACCGGTTATGATTATTACTGAACCGATATCGAATTGTCCTTGTCTGCATCGCAGTGCACCGAAGAAACAATTAATTTTGACACCCCTACTGTCCTGAGAGGTCATGTTTTGATCTTCGATTGGTGTCATGTTGTCACATGATGCGATTTCACAAGTCAGAGTTCACCAAGCTTGAACTTTCCAATGCAGCAAACTGAGAAACTCATCACAACTGGTCTGCTCACATGAGTATGAATGGAAGTCTTTGGGGTGAAAAGAGCAGCGTGACCGCGGTTTAATACACATTTCCTTGCTGCTATTAATTGCTTTATTTTGGTCAATTCTTTAAGTACCAATTCTCACTATTAACTAGCTTAGTATCTTTCTATTATTATTATTATCTTGGCTGTTTATCAGTGCTTAAAAAGTATGAAATTATTCTCTTTAATCCTACCCAATATCTAAACTTGCCAACTACCATTAAGCGGCAAATTAGGAGTTTATAAAGATGAAAGTTGTACTTATTGATGAATTAAAGCGTTAATATTCTCATTTAAACTTCATCATTGTATTCTAGAATGTCTCAGGAATACAGAATAAACTCTCATTTATTAATGTAGCTCTTTTGTCTTCAATATATTATAAAATGTAATTTATTAATGTAATTTAAATCATAATTAATGCAGTCTTCAGTGTCACGACTATTCAGAAATCATAATAGGATGATTTTATGATCAAGATACTTCTGTTTTAATCTATTATTGTATATGTACTGTATGTGTATATTATTGTATACTTTTTATAATATAATAATATATTTATTAATTCAATATGTTTATTAGTTTATCTTCATACAATATTAGATTTATTATTTACTACTCAAGCCATTTGCTACAATCGGCTATAATGGTTAACTGCAATCGGTTGCTCAAACTCCTCGAATAGCTGTACTGTTTGGACTCATTTTTATTAAATGCAAACAGATTTGAACATAAAGTAAAAATCCACACGTGTAAACAAGAAATGACATTAAAAAAAGGGTATATTAAGACAGTTATTTAAATAAAATGTTTATCAAGAACAAAACAATAGCCATACAGTGCTTGGACTTAATTCATTTAAGTTAACTGAAGTCATACAGATTTGATAACTGAACTTAAAAGGGTACTAATTCATTAAATGTTTGACCATATCGACTCATATAAACTCGTTTTAAGTTTATAGTACTTAAATTTAGTGCAGGGCTGGCCAACCCTGTTCCTGGAGATCGACCTTCCTGCAGATTTCATTTGCAACCCACATCAAACACACCTGCCTGTAATTAACAAGTACCGTTCAGGTCCTAGTTAATTGGTTCAGGTGTGTTTGGTCAGGGTAGGAGCTGAACTATGCAGGAAGGTAGATCTCCAGGAACAGGATTGAGCACCCCTGATTTAGTGTAATAAACTTTAATGGTTTGAGTTAGCCTATCGGGTTTTACAGTGTAACAATATATATTATTTGCACAATTATCAAGCACACCGTTTTATTTTGATCTTATTTTTGTAGTTAAAATATTGAATAATCTGAATATTGAGATTTTATTTACAGACTTTGAACGCTTCTTTAGCTCATTAATGAACGCTCGGATGTTGTTGTGCAGATTCCTCTGTTTGTTCAATCAGAATCGACACGCCTGATTAATCCTAATTAAAATCATTTATGCAGAATAGCCTTACCTGAACTAATTACCCAGCTGAGATCTGTCAGAGATTTTATTAACGGTTCTAAATGTAAAGTTGAAGCCGTTCTGTTTATTTTTAATTCTTTTAGAGTTTCTCAACACATTTCTAATTATAATAGTTTTAATAACTCATTTCTAATAACCAATTTTTTTTTTTATCTTTGTCATGATGACAATAAATAATATTTGACTAGATATTCTTCAAGACACTTCTATACAGCTTAAAGTGACATTTGAAGGTTTAACTAGATTAACTAGGTTAATTAGGGTAAGGTTAGGGTAATTAGGCAAGTCAATGTATAACAGTGATTAAGGGGCTAATAATTTTGTCCTTAAAATAGTGTTTTAAAAATTAAAAACTGCTTTTATTCTAGCCGAAATAAAACAAATAAGACTTTCTCCAGAAGAAAAAATATTATGGGAAATACTGTGAACAATTCCTTGCTCCAGTAAATATCACTTGAGAAATATTTGGAAAAGAATAGGAATGCTAATAATTTGTCCCTCAACTGTATATCTGTGCGCTGATGATCGCTCTCCAGATGCCGCTCACTAAATTCAGCAAGACTTTTGTCATTTGTGCTGCAAAACTGCCTGCAGGCTGGTATTAAGATGCAGCAATGAAGACACGATCTCTAGCATGAAAACCCATCCTGGTTGCCAACGATTAGGCTGTCATGAAGCCAAGCCGCTTTCACACCATAGGGCACAATATAAACCAAAAACGGCAGCGGCGGTAACAAAAAGCCGATCGCTCTTTGTGTGTTTTTATGGCAGTGATTCCTCGCCAAGAGCCGACCTCAAGGCCAGAGCTGCTGATTGGCACCAACAAATCACTGCCACCTTTTATTGTTGTTTCTTAGTTTATAGCTCAAGCATTAATGCACTCACACTGCTGTGTTTTACTGGCCTGTTTGTGTGTGTTATGGATGACAATCTAGAATTAGGTGCACTCAAAAAATGCTGGGTTGTTGTATCCCATTTTGGGTCATATTTATATTATGCTTTTTTATCTCAACAATCTTTGTTTCAGCCAAATCTGGGTTAAAAAAATGGGTTAAAACAATCCAGCCATGCATTCATTTATTCAATTATTGATTCATTAAAGTTTATATTTATTTTTAATCATTTATTCATTCATTCAATCAATCTATTTCATTTTTATTTTTTATTTATTTATTCATTCATTCAGTTAATTTATTTTATTTTACATTTTTATTTATTAATTTTATAAAATTTTATTTTATTTGTTATTAATTCATTTATTTAATTTTATTTCATTTTTATTTATTTATTTACACATTCATTCATTTTAATCTATTTTATTTTATTTTTATTTAGTAATTCAGTTCTTCATTCAACTTTATTTTATTTAAATAATATATTTATTCATTCATTCATTGAATTAAATTTTTTTATTCATTCATTAAATTTTATATTTATTTATTTATTTATTTAATTTTGTTTTTATTTTTATTTATTTATTAATTCAATTTAATTATTTATTCTTTCATTCTATTTTATTTTATTTTTATTCATTCATTCATTTTTTTCATTTTTATTTTTTAAATTATCTATTCATTAATTCAATTTAATTTAATTTTTATTTTGTATTAATTTATTAATTTAATTTTATTTTTTATTCATTTATTCATTCAATTTTATTTTTTCATTTATTAATTTGTTCTATTTTATTTTTATTTATTCATTCATTGAATTTTATTAAATTTTTATTTATTTATTCATTCATTCATTTTATTTTATCTTATTTTTTGTTTATTTTTTTAGTTTTTATTAATTTACATTTTTATTTAGTTGTCTTTATTTATATTTTTATTTATTTATATTTATTTTTATATTTATTTGTTTATTTAGTGTATATTGATTGTCAGTCATGATATATCAGGGAAAACACTAATATATTATTTTTTAGTTCATGACTTTTACCATTTATACAAGATATTATCAGAATGTTGTTTTTATTAATTATTTTTATTATATCTTTTTTATTCATTTCATTTTCATTATTTTCAATAATTCATTTCATTTCATTCATTAATTTTGATTAATTATAGCGGTATGGAACCATATATGAATTCGTACAAGTTTACATCTCGTGTTTGTGTGTGTGTCTTCAGATCATCCAGGACCGGGTGCTCCAGCAGAGCTCCAGAAGCAGTGTGATGTGGAACAGTCACCCCGGTGGACTCTTCTCTCTGCCGCAGTACTCCTCATATCTGGGAGACTTTCCTTTCTTCTACGCCAAACTCGGTAAATCAACACCCTCAGCTTCTGTTCAACACACACTGCTCGTTCAAAAGCTCAGTCTGAAATCTTCAGTCTGGAAATGTTATAGCTAAACGTCAGCACTCATACTCAAATCCTTATGTTCCTTTATTCTTTTACAAAAGAAGATATTTTGAAAAATGTTGTGCAGCAAAAACAGCCATTGGCTTACATAGTAGGAAAAAAAGATACTGTGGAAGTCAGTGGTTGCATGTTTCCAACATTTTTCAAAATATCTTGTTCAAAGAAGAACTGAAACTCAAGCTGGGACTTGTAAGGTGTGCCTAATAAAGTGGCCGGTGACTATATACTGTATATAGAAATAAGTACATCCATTTAAAGTATAAAAATATTCTAAAATGAATACGATATCGAAGCATAATAAAGCAAATATGCATCTACTTTTAAGTGTGTAGTGTACAAGTGCATGATTTTGGAGCTTCTTTTAAATATTGCAACCCTTTATTTAATTATTTCTCTCAAACTTTGTCTAATCGAGTCCTGCATGACGTTTTGAGGTTACGCTCAAATGTTCTGTAATGAATGAGCTTCATAAGACGTGACAGACAGGCATTATGGGAGTTTGAGCTGCTCTCTCATCTCTCCTCTTCTCTGTCATCATCTGATTTATTTTGAAACAGTCTCTTAATTGCAGAGGTGTTGATATCTACAGCTTGAGCATGTGGTTAAGTGACAGTCATTGTGTGCTGTGAAAGATTATTGAGCAGTCCAGTGTAATTGCATGGTAAAATCTATATTGACAATCTAAAGGGGAGCATGGCTGGAGTTAATGCAGCGGCGCAGACCTCCGTCTTCATCTGCAGTGCTGTCACTGTAATCAATACAGCAGCAAAAACACCAATCATCAAACTGTGTGGCGTGGAAAAATCATACTCAAGGAAAAGTATTGGTAAAAAAAATCTAGTGCAAGAAGTAAAAGTACTTGTGCTTAATAGTGTTCAGAGTAGGGGAAAAAACATCTAAAACTACTCGAGAAAATAAAAATAAAAAAGTGAAATAAAAATAGGCGAAAAAGACAAGATTACTGACAGAAGCTAGTATAGATGTGTTCTGCATTGGCTATTTCGTTATTTTTATAATGTTTTTTTTTCATTATTACAATTGTTATTACATTTTAAGTTGATATTGTTGCCATTTATAATTTATTATTATATTATATTATATTATATTATATATAATCATTTTAAATTGTAATTATTCATGCTGTTGATGTTGTTGTTGTTATTAATAATGTTGTTATTAATACTATTATTATTATTAGTAGTAGTATTGTTGTAAAATAAAAATTTGTTCAAATTTTAATTATTCATGCTATTATTATTGCTATTATTATTGCTAATACTATTATTACTTGTATTATCATTGCCTTGTCTAGTTATTTTATTATATAATAATAATAATAATTATTATTATTATTACTTTTATTATTATTATTATTACTTTTATTATTTTATTATTATTATTGTTATATAATAAAATCAGTTCAAATTGTTATTATTTATGCTATTACTGTTGTTGTTGTTATTATTATTATTATTATTATTATTACTATAATTATTATTGTTATTGTTGTTATAATTATTATTATTACTATTTTAATATTGTTGGTATTGATTTTATGTTTATTATTATTTATTACATTTTACTTCTTATTCATAGTTTTATTTTTTGCTGGCCAATTTGTTATTTGCATAATAAATGACAGAACTTTATTGCCAAATAAGTTTAAGAACTGTACAAAATTATTTTCCCAACTACATGTTAAATGTAACTGTAATATAACACTTTTTATTAAACACAGTTTAAATACATATTTGTAAATAAATGCTTTGGTGGTAATAAAGTAGTGAGCAATTTGACAACATTGTTGTAAATAATTTTGTTGCATATTTGACCAGCTAATCCAGGACAAACTAGTGTACAGATTGTCACTTGAATGCAATATTTCAACTTCATAATTAATATGGATACAAAATGATTTTAAAGAACACAGAATGAAGGAAATGACTTGCTACAGGCCTGATTTTATACATAATTAAGTAAAAATATGCCAAGCTCAAAACCTGTAAAAATATTTAGGTGTTTTGTTGTTGTTGTTGTTGTTTAGTGTTTTGTTTACAATCTTAAAGCTTTGTTTTGGTTTTGTCCCCTNGCTAGAAAAAACCATATATATATATATATATATATATATATATATATATATATATATATATATATATATATATATATATTTGTTTATTTATTTTTTGTTATTTTGCCTCTTTTCAATATTAACACTGAAGAGCTGAATGTGTTATAAGGGTAAAATGGATTGTGGAATTCCACAGACCTCAAACATCACTTTTGACTGATATATGCTTCTTATCTGGTTGTGTTTGTAGGCATCAAGCCGAGTCCCAAGTTCACTGCAGTTATCCATGCAGTGACGCCGCTGGTTTCTCAATCTCAGCCCATTCTCAAGCTCATCGTCTCAGTGGCCAGATCACAGTACTGCGCTCAGGTAAAAACACTTCTTCTCAAGCACAATTCAGTCATCAAATGCATTGGAAATGATTGCAAATATCAACATTTGAGTGGGAAAGAAAATTGAAGAACAATTTAAGATGATGTAGTTACAGGTGTTTCATGTACTTACTATAGTAATTACAATCAATTATCCATAATTACATGCAACTAACCCTAAACCTGACCCAGATTCTAATCCCAACCGTTATAGTAAGTGCAGGTAAGTAATAAAACTCCGTAGTACTCTTATCAGCTTAAGATAAATCATTTTTATTATTATACTTCTATTGATTTAAATGATTTTAAACAAGGTATAGACATAATACACCCTTGTTTATAGTGACACCGCTGGCCGTTCAGTGAACTGCGGCAGCAGCTTATTTCTCACTTGTGCACATACCCATAAAATGTGATTTAAATACCAATATATTAACAGTGATTAGCGTTTTCATTATTTGATCAAAAAATATAAAGAATTTGGAAATACTTTGCTGTGATATATATACAGTTGAAGTCAGAATTATTAGCCCCCCCTGAATAATTAGCACCCATGTTTATTTTTCCCCAATTTCTGTTCTGTTTCTAATCAAAATAGTTTTAATAACTCATCTCTAATAACTGATTTATTTTATCTTTGTCATGATGACAGCTCATAATATTTGACTAGATATTTTTCAAGGCACTTGATAAACATGTGTGGGAATATAAAGTTACATTATATATATATAAATATATAAATAAACTGAAATATATAATTATATATATATAAATATATATAACATTATATAATATATAATGTTTTTAGGGTGTGACAGACCTAAAAATGTCTTGGTTTCTGAGCTCTGATGGTCTCCAAAGTAATGCAAACTATCAGTTTTACAGCACGGCTGTATCTATCATCTTCTCTGTCTCCAGAACATCGTTTGCACACTGTTTTAATGCTAAAATGTATGTTGAATAGGTACTTATATACTGATGAGATCAGGCCTGGAAAGGCATGTTACCCTGCCGACAACAACACATCATTTGCATGCTTTGTTAGACTGTCCCCACCATGACTGTCCCCACCTACATGTATCAAATGCATTTAAACTGAATGTTGTACCAATTAATGGGTTTCTTTCAATGACGCCACGGCGTCGCTGAGTTCTTCTTATTAAAAGGATTCTGCTTTAAAGAGACCGAAAGTTCTCCCTGTTTTTTTGGGCTCGCCTTAGAATTTCACAACAGTTTGAGTCCGTGAGCCAGACTAGAGAAATGTACAACATATGACACTTGATTAAAGTGACATTTAAAGGCTTAATTAGGTTAACTAGTCAGGTTAGAATAATTTAGGGAAAGTTATTGTATAGCAATGGTTTGTTCTGTAGACTGTCGGGGAAGAAAAAAAAAAATAGCCTGAAATGG